CAATGGATATTGCCAACGATTACCCACGCAGCGGCCGGATTGCCTCTCCAGAGATTCCATATCAGCCACCACGGATAGTCATGACGTTCAAGAAGGTAAGCCGCAAGAGTGCCAGGAATGCGCGCATTGAATCGTTCCACCGTATGAAGATTACCCGTGACAACGCTATCAAAGCCATGGTGGATGAGTTTACGGAATTCACGCACACCGTTGTCAACCAGCAAGGTTTTCCACACGACCAGCCTGCTATGAACATCCTGATGGACTTGGCACAGCGGACCACGACTGCATTGGAGACGCTTGCAAAAGACAACGATTTGCTGTGGGATGCGCTTACCAAGTGCCGAAAGATTTGGGATGCTGTCGGTAAAGATCAGCCCAGTTCGGAACACACCGGTCAGATGGTAGCGGGACCATCAGCTGTGCAGCGGAGCAGCCCTCCGCGTGATGAGCAACCGCCACGATCCTTCGTTTTCCCGGCCTTTGCTAAACCAGCAGCCGAGGCGCCGACTATGGCGATGGTGCAGCCCCGACCATTCAAGCGGCAGCCTACACCTCATCCGAGGGGAATCATCCGCTCGAACCGGGAGCTTTGTTTGCCTGCGTATTTTGCCCAGTTGCGCTCACCACCGCCTTATGTCGAGTCACCACGAAGCCCCAGCCCGATGGTCAATGACGACATTCAGCACTGCGCGGGGACACCAGCAAGTCCGGACGAGGATACGCCTCGCTACGTGATTGTGAACCGTAGTGCTGCCGACCAGCAATAAGTTTGCACTGAGGTTAATTTTTATTATAACTCCTTTTATATTAAAATACAAAAAAAAGAATTATAAATGATTAATTGTTGAATAAAAAACCGATTAATATAAATTTAAAACATAAATATCTACACTTGTGTTCGCGTTAATATATACATTATATTATGTATGTTTTGTCTAGTTGTTGCAATATATTGTGCTAACATTGTTTTTTATATAAAATTTATGCCTGTTTTTTCATTGTTGTTTGATACTGTAAACGCCCACTACAACGTTTTTTCCTGCCGTGAAAAGTGTGTATTTTAATACCTTATTTTCAAATACAATTGTTTTTTACTCCCTGTTCCTGTTGGATTCGCCAGAGACGTCGAATCTCAAAAAGGAGGACTGTCACGGACGCGGACGGCATAGTCATCAGCATCATCGGGGTCAGCGACGATTACATCATATGACATCAGCCTTGCATCAGCCTTGCTCAGCCTTGCATCATGCGGCCTCATTCCCACGCGATAACGCCAGTGACCACACCTTCCGGCTGGCGGCACCACTCCGCCGCGCGGGTATATAAACCACAGCTGCAACCACCGGAAGTCAGTGTGCTTTCCCCTGCGAAGTCAACCGACCAGCAGTCTACAGCCTGCCCTGCACCGGACCATCTAGCGATTGTACTAGCTTGACCTTTTGTTTAGCTTATAGCTTTGTTGTAGTGGGCACATTGATTATCATTAAAGGTCAGTCAAACACCGGTGCGTTGCCTAATCGTTATAGGTATTGTAAAGGTCATCGTCGACCTGATCCATAGGGCTCATACACACAGCACTACAGGTAGAACTCATTGTTGCTACAGCGTACGCTGCCATTACCTACAATCTGCAGCTCGATTGCTATGACGAACAGTTGGGTTGCTGGCAGCGTACACCGGCAACTTTCTTGCAAGAAAAAGCATTCAGGTGCGCAGTATGGCGCTGGTCGTCTGCCAGGACCGTCTGTACGCATTCGGTGGTTGGAAGTACGGACACCGCGACATTTCGCCGCGGACAACTAGTCGCTGGACTTTTGCTCGCAGACATTCCACCGCAAGCCCATCTTGCCACGCGACATTTCGTCGCAGGACATTTCGTCAGTAGGACTTTACGCCGCACGACTTTCCGTCGCATGGCCGCTTCGACGCAATGAAATTTCGCCGCAAGGATTTCTCGACGAAGCGACAGTTCGCCTATCAGACAAATGATTTACAAAGCTACAATTAATAACAGAATCAGTCAGAAAACGGAACACTAAAAACAAAATCAAACGAACAACGTAAAAAACCTAAGAAACCAAAGAAAAACTAACAAACCTGAGAAACAATAAGAAACTTAAGAAACCTAAGAAACCAAAAAACCCATAAAGACCTAAACACCTAAGAAACCTAAGAAGCCTAAGAAAACCTAAGAAACGTAACAAACCTAACCAGGGAACATAGGGGTCCTCCCCCTTCAAAAAAATCTCATTTTTTGGAGAAAGATAGTATGGGTATGGTTCCTTTAAGAAAGATAGTATGGGTATGGTTCCTTTAAAAAAAATATAGTTCCTTTAAAAAATATTTTCAGCTGCTGTAATTAAGATGGGCGTGGCCAAACGCTAATTAGAAGAGTACGCAATACCACATACGCACTATGTATTACCATGCAGAGCGCAGGCTTTAAAGTTTAAGCATAGCAGTCACTGCACTTGGCCATCAGCATGCACTCGGGCAGCTGCCTAGCACCGAGGCAAGTGAAACCCGCGTGCGGTAGTCCCTGCCACCGCTTTCAAATTGCCGACTTTCAAAAATGTGTTATGATCCAACATGTGTTATTATTACAACATGTGTAAAAAATGCGGAAAATTTTCTTTACTAATTAGTAAACGCCCAAATCCAGAAAAAACAAATTTTGAAAATTTGCAATTTGAAAACGATGGCGGGGACGACCGCACGCGGTTTCACCCGCCTCGGTGCTAGGAAGCTGCCCGAGTGCATGCTAATGGCCTACTGCAGTGACTGCTAGGCAAAAAGCCTGCGCTGTGTATGGTAATACATAGTGCGTATGTGGTATTGCGTAGTCTTCTAATTTGCGTTTGGCCACGCCCATCTTAATTACAGCAGCTGAAAATATTTTTTTAAAGGAACTACATACCCATACTATCTTTCTTCAAAAAATGAGATTTTTTTGAAGGGGGAGGACCCCTATGTTCCCTGGTAAGAAAACCTAAGAAACCTAAGAAATCTAAGAAACCTAAGAAACATTAGAAGATTAAAATCTAAGAAGACCTAAGAAAGTCTAAGAAAGGCTAAGAAAACTAAGAAAAAATTAAGAACAAGCTTAAAAAATCTGAAAATCTAGTGAGAATTAAGCGCGGTGAAATATTTTGCGGCGTTTAGTCGCACCGTTTGAAAGTCCCAAGACGAAATGTCCGCGACCAGACGTCTTGCGTCGAAATGCCGCAAAGGTAAAATGTCTCAAAGCGTAATGTCCCGAACCGAAGTGTCTCAGAGTCGGAATGTCCGGCGGCGAAATGTCTTCGCGGCGAAAAGTCGCGCGTCGAGTTTGAGTGCGGCGAAATGTCACACTCCCAATTGTCCGGGTGTGGGAAGGGCACCAGACGGGCAGAACTGATTGCGCTGGACAGTGCGTTCTGCTACGATCCCACTGACAACACCTGGAGCGAATTGGCCCCCATGCCAACGGCGCGCTACCATTCTTCGGCCTGTGTCGGCGCGGATGGGCTGATTTACGTCATCGGTAAGTGGAAGAAATACACCGCCAGCTGCTTTGACATCGACAATCATCTCTTTGTTCAGGGGGGATGTGAAAGCCGCGCTGATGCCACCGAGGCACACTGCGATGAAATTTTAATCGAGCTCCTGCCTTGCGTGGAAGCCTACAACGTGGCACGGAACTGTTGGTACAGAAAAAGTAAGACTTTGCCTCTGCATGCTGCGCTCGTTACTAAAAACTATGTATGCTGGCCAATCAGGTCCCATGATGCACAAGCGGGCCTATCCACCCTTAGCTGCTCTCGATGGAAAGGTTTACGCTGCCGGCGGATTGTTAAATGGGTTTAAATCCAGTTTTGGTAACTGGACTGACGTAGTGGAGTGCTACGACGAAGAGACGGACAAATGGAGAATGGTACACGGCGCACTGCCCATCCAAGAGCACTACGCGCTCGCCGTGGTGCCGCAGTGTCTGCTGAAGCGATGGAATGCCGACGAGACGAAAAGGGCAACGAGCACACCTTCATTAAGATCAGCAACGCTAACTTTGTCTAGCGACGGCGTGATACATGCGCGTACTTGTTCCTGATTACTATTTCTTTTTCTATTTCCTCTTCCTTAACAACTATCTTGATTCTTTGGTTTCTCTCCTAGCTACGATTCTATTTTCCCTAGTCGATTGATTCCTCGCTACAATGCAGAACAGTCGTTAAAGGGCTGATATCCTCACTCTGCTCGATTCCCAAGATGTGTATGTGAAACACAGCAGATTTACAGGCTACCTGCTACCTGATGAAACTATTAATTTGATACGCGTAATTGTTGCTGCCAAATTGCTAAATTTGGTTGTCGTATCTATCGTGCATATACATATCATACGCGAAACAGATTACCGATTTTGTGATGGAGACGCATGCGCAGACTTAAGCAAAGGTCACTTCATGACGATCGCGTGCGCTGGATGACGAAATACACGGCCTTTTTCTTCCTCAGTCAAATCACTCATACTGTCTTAAGTGTCTTTACTTTACTCTAAAAGCTTCTTTAGTGCATTCAAGTGGCTGTATGTGCAAGGCACCGTAATGTGCGGCTCTTTAATAATCACAGTCAGATACAGAACGAAAATGTTACAAGACAAAGTCATAGTAATTCAGTAAGTAATAAAAAATAAGCAAAACAACATTCAACGATGCTGTTTGTTAATTAATTATTTATCTTTAAACATGATTTCTCATGTTTTTTTTTGTTTTAGCAATTCAGCAGATTGTCGTCAGCAAAATGTCGGGCTCAACAAACTGTCGTACAGCAACTCCTCGATCACAGACTTGTCGTTTCAACCACTTGTCGGGTAAGTAAGTATTTTGTCGGTCAGCAGATTGTCGGTGTGCCCATCATCTGTATGCATGCTAGCATTGTACCGTCCGACGTTGTGCAATGCTAACATGCATACAGATGATGAGTACTGGTAGTCGTAGATGACATCGATCGGAGATGGTACAGCGGTGCATAGCTTATATAGGCACAGATTGAAGGAAGTAGACGTGATTAAATGAATACCTAGCGATATTCCGGAAGCAATATTACGCCGTGAGGCCCACGATATTCCAAGTCGCATAGACGTCGGTCGTAGACGTATACGCTTCGATCGTGAACGTGTGATCACAACATCATTACATCACGTTCCTCACATGACACATGTTCCTCACGTTACGAATTTAATCGCAGTATTTATCAACAAGCCGTAACTTATCTGTACTGCTTTAACATGCCGTGGAGGCTATCATGGAGTTAACGAACTTCTCGCGGGATTCCTTCATATTTGATGTGAACATGGCCGCGAAATAAGGACTGCACCCACTTAAAGCGGATCAGTGGCAGGGAATCCACGGCGACGCGGTCTCCGTGCTTTCACAAACACATCAGGTAATCTCTGGGTTGACATGATTGCTTTAAGCAGATGCAGGTAGATTCAGTAACAAGCAGTCCAGAAATAACTGAATCAAAACAGTTAAGCGCAGAGTCTTATGGTTTTTTTTATACGGCATTACTTCATTGGCGGGTCTTACTACTCCTGAGACAGGAAGCCTGACTGATGCAAGGTACTGTATGCTTTTCTGCAGTTGCGCTGACTGCAAAAATCCGTATGCGGTGCTCATTTTATATACAAAAAGCTGCCGTTCCGCTATGAGAATGATAAGACAGCCTTGGGCGCGCGCGGAATATCATACATACAAACTAATATCGTTATTAAAAAATTTGTTTTTCACGTTACGACCGATTTATAATCTATAGGTATGGACGACTTCGTACACGTTAAAGTTTTCTGGAGATGTTGTTTTACTTGTATCCCCTGTATATCCCCCGTATTCTACATATCCTTCATGTATCCTCGCATTTTTCTGACTTGTTTTATTTCATTGCCCTGTCCTAGCGCATCTCTGCAGTATCCTTTACGTATCCTACATGTATCCCACTAAATCATAAGAAAGCATAAAAAGTACGCAGACGGAGGAACCTAGGAAAATTAACGATACACGTGGAGACATTGTCACCGACCAGACAGTGGCAATGTGCGCTTATTGCAGCAGTCCAATAACATATGCCCGCAAAACCCTGACGCTTTAATAGCCCAGAGAAATGCTTATATCCGTACGAATGTCACTTTTTCGTCAAATGGCGCGCTTGACCTTCAAGAATATGATCTTAGCAGAAATACACTATGCCACCGTATTAGCATTTAGCCGAATCCAGCAAGCTTTCTTCGTTGGTGTGTAACCGTGTGTTTATCTGATGAAAGTACTCTTTTGGTAACATAGGTAACAGATGATTTACTGCTGATTGCGGCGTACAACTCACCCTTTCACGGGTTATCCGAAAGTTCGGTTTTCAGACAGAAAATCTCTCTTTATGGCCATAGGTACAACGGCTTAATTCAGATGAAGTTTTTCAGTTTTCTTAGTTTTTGAAATCAATATCGCTTTTTACATCCACTTTTAAGACCATCTTTGTCAGGGCGGGCTCACGCATAGCTTATGACTTAGCCCTTCTGTCATTTGTCGGTTTTGGGTTTTTCCTGTCTGGGCATTTTTCTTGCACTCTCACGGATCTGTAGCACAACTGCGCTGTCTACAGCATCCGCACATGTCAGTTGGGTAGAGATGTGTTTTCTGGCAGTATCTCAATAAACTTTCGATACTTTCGGGTTGTTCCGTCGAGGGCACATGTGCGCCTAGCCAGTGCCATGTGACATCTTAAATCGAGAAAAATTCGCAGCTCAAAATGAGAACGGCTTTAAACAGACACTTTAAAGTTTGAAGAAATCTTGCCTAAAAATTACTTAGTCAGCATTCTGCAAGTGTCAACGCAGAATTTTAAATAGACCTGAATCTTCCAAGGAGTTTTTTGATATAAAATTTTCTTACTTTATAACCTTAAAAAAAGATTTATGTGTTCGATTTTCAAAAACAACTTGAGTAAAAGCGATTTTTTTTAAAAATCGCTCTTGCAATTAAACTTTCGAGGTATTTTCGCATCCAATGCATCAAGTTTGAATATTGTAAGGTAACATCTGAACTAATAGTTAGTTTTCAAACTTTATCGGCTGCAGTTTGAACGGCTGCCTTTGAAAGTTCGTGCAAGTTTAGATCGGTCATGCGCATGTCGAGCCGTCGACTGCTTCAGCACACAACACGCATCAGACCATAGAGACTCTCCAGACAGCTGACTGTCCGCTCCTTTCCACACTTGTGTGTGATCAAAATGTTTTGTCTTTCGGTATTTGTTTTCATTCTACTAACCAGTACTCGGTTTAGTCAGTAATGGCTGTCAGTAAAATAAAAGATGTGCTTAGATCACAGCTTTGTGTTCTCCATTGAAAATTTGCGCTAACTTGCATATGCGTCAGCGTACGTAATGGTGAGCCGGGCCGGTCACCCTTTGCACCTTTACTTAGATTAGGTATCCAACTTTAAAAAAAGTCTGATCACTTTGATCTTTTGGCCATGTGGTAGGGCAGTCTTCGATCAGTGCAGCTGCCTCTTTTTGCAAAATGGCTTCTTATAAGTGGATAACGCAACCACAGATCCGGGTCACACATAATAGTTGTTATAGCAACAGTAGGACAAGGCAATCCATGAACCAGATGGTTCACAATAGCGAGACAAGGACCGAGGAGAATTCGGGTTAGTTGCTGATAGAGGTCACGCGATAGAAGTCATTCACTCTGCCCCAGGCTTAAAATCTTCAGCCATCAGTAGAAGGAAAAAATTACCGTATGTTGATCTCCCATAATGAACACTCTTTACACGAATCTATCGTTGGTTACGTATTTGACCGGCAAAGGTACTTGTTTTTTATGCAGGCTTGTCTATATCTTATCCCACGCTGTTGATAACGGAACAAATCTACCGTTGTCAGGCACTTGTACACACGGCTCCTTATCCGCCCAGCTAAAATGCTCTTCAGCTAAAATGCTCTTCTACGAAGATACGGGACGATCGTTGTATGCATGGAACGCTGTGGACGTGGAGATTGACGGTCGGTTGCGGCACGGCTACGTGGTCGGCCTGGAAGAGACCGAGAGCGCTTCCCCTCGTCTGCTGGTGGATTTGGGATGCCCGACACAGGAGGCGGTGCTGGTGGAATACGGGAAGGTATGGGACTGCTCCCGCCATGTATCCAGCAACGCTAGCGAGGGAGCTGTTGTGGAAGTGCTGCTGTATGACGGCCCGCACTGGACATGGTATCCCGGAATCATACTGATTGCGCGCTTTGACGAGCTGCATGAGATGGCGCTGGTGGAGGTGCTGGTGGACGAGCAGCGGCGTCGCGAACTGCTTCCCACCAATCAGATTCGCGATGCGGCCGATGCCTGGGGGCAAACAGCCAGGTCGGGACTTCTTGGGGCGGGCGAGTTCGTCATGCAGGCGTGTAACGTGCCCAACGGCTACTGGGCTATGGAGCCGTCTGCGGCGGCATTCCTGCTTAAACAAGTGGAGAGCCGGTGCAACCTGCGAATTGTCACGGTTCTTAGTTGGACGATGCACTATCTGCGGAGGCACGGGGACTTGCCCTTAAGTGACCAGGTTCTGGTAAGTCATCGTTAATGATTGATTAAGTTTAATCGTTTAACGTTTGCACACAATCTGGGTAACACCCGAATTCGACTCACCAGAGTCGTCACATGAAAATAATCAAACATTGAACAACGACGGACAAACAACTTAACAGACATTCATATTTCTAGCAAACAGTATATGAGCTGCATGGTGCGACTTCTAAAGCGACAGTCGACATTAGTGTCTTCCATTCAACATTATTTATATTAAAGCTGTTTCGTCAACTTTCATAAGCTTCAGTCGGTATCCTTAAATCGTTCCATACCCTCGCAGTTCCGTAGGCGAATGGTTTATCTGAGAGTGGGAGTGCGTGACCGCAAAATGTAGATTCGAAAGGGACTATTGGGCACGGATGTCAGCCATGCTCTGCCGATTAGGCGTCGCACTTGCAACACCAGAATACGCAGTAACATCCTTGTGGAATAATTTATCTCCGTTAGGGACACAAGGTTGCTGAAAAGTTGTAGGTCAGTGGTAGACTGTGGTGGACATTTCGCCGCGCGATCTGCTCCAGTCTTCTGCTAAGTTGTTTAACTCTGCTTTCAAAATTATTCGACTGAGGTAGTGAACGAACTTTCAGAGGTAGTGAACGAACGAATCTTCTCCGAACATTTTCGATACCTGCAGTACTGTATCAGTCTGTATGGTTCGATATACTCCGCAATGCCATTATGGGATCTGTTGTTTTGGCTACCGATCACTTCGGCCGTTTTTATTTCGGCTTACGCTGATTTCGGCCATCATTCTACGGGTTGTCTTTTAACGCAAATAAAAAAACCTCTTTATTTGTAAACGACTGCAGCATACATATCAAAAAACATTAATAAGTTAACTAAACGGTGAAAGAAGAATTTATTATCACAACAGAAAGAGCTCAGTAAACTTTTCAACTCCGTCCATTGTTCCGAAAACTGAAGCCGCATTTCCCCGCTGAATCTCCAGGGACAATCGCTGTCGGAGAAATTCATGGGAGCGAGCCTCTCCAGTTTGATTACGTAAACGCTTCCCGATTTCCTTGATAATAGCGGTAGCTGACGGTCCCCATGGGCCCATCGTTTCAAAGGCAATGGCTGCGAAAATGTAGCGCCCACTTAGGTACGAGTACAAACTGGCTTTCCTTTCTTCTGCCTGTACCGCCGCCCATACGGGAGTCGACGATGTAGACCTTATATGGGAAGCAGCAACCGTATCGACACAAGTGACGTCCCATGCCAAGCACATACCCCTCTGCCATGCAAACGTTGTGCAGCCGTCTGGGCGTCGTTCGCTCGTATGTGAGGTGCCGCGTGGTTCCCGTTTAGCGGGGAAGCCGGCAGAAACAAGGGCGCGGCATACAATGTTATTGAGCCCGCCGTGCCGTGGGTGCCTGCCGGCTGAGAAAGTGCAGGATAGGCCGTGGTGTGCATAACGCAAATTGCATACAATAGAAGGTGTCTGCAAACGTCTTATGCCACGCTGCCGGTCGCTTTTGTAGTTCGCCACATGTGTTGTAAGTCTCTCAAACCAATTTCTAATCTCGGTAAGTAAGCAACCTAAGAAACCAAAAGAGAGCATAACATAACGAATAAAACATAGGAAACATAAAAACATAAAAAAAAAACATGAGAAAGGAAAAATAAGAAAAAATACATGAAATCATCATGAAATAAAAATTTAAAAAATACAACAAAACATAAATAACAAAAGAACCATGAAACACATAGAAAACATGAAACACATATCAAAATAAAACAAAAAAAAGTACGAAAACATAAATAACAGAAGGAAACATAAGAAACATAAAAAAGCATTAAAGCAAGAAACATAATAAAAAATAACATAAAAAACATAAAATTTAAGCTTCGGCCGAACTGAGCGATGGCCGAAACGAGCGGTGGCCGAAATGAACGTGTGCGGCCGAAATGTAACGCGGCCGAAGTGAACGGACGCGTGTTGGGCTATTTTACTCCACAATTTTTTGGAATCTGTTGATTCCTGACCAGAACGCAAGCCCGTCTGTTAACAGTATCAATTAGTCCCTTTTCAACTGGAAATGTTACGGATGCACAGCAGCCTGAGAGAGAAAAAACACTTTTATTAAAAAACCATTTTCACACGGCAATTTCCATTTATGACTACGTTCAAGGTGAATTCCCCGATATTTTGCCAAATAATTATGGGAACGTCTTCCTATTACTGTACAATTATTGTACAATTTTTACAGTGTGGTATACTTATTAACATCCTGCTCTGAATCTCCTACCATAGGCGACCGCGTTCGAGGACCAGAGGAGCAAGCACGATTTTGGCTGGCAAACTGAATTCCTTGATGAAAACGAAGAGCTGGATGTTGAGCGGAAGCGTAGGATGCCGTTAAGCCAGTTGAACGTCGGTGAAAAAGACAGATTAACGTTGCCGTTGGCAGTGCTGAAAGAGATCTTCCACTCACTGGACACCATTGACCGTGTGCGCTTCCGCCGCACCTGTCCGCTGTGGGCAGACATTCTTATTAAGCCGGAGATATGCAGCGAGGTGATCCTCCCGCGGCCGCAGTACAGCTTTTGGGATAATTACGTCCTGTACACCGGCCTCGCCAAGCACGTCACACCCGCCACACGCACCATCTGCATCCGCGAAAGCGGCATGTATTCTAATGACGTGTTCGATGCTGTGCAGCGTCTCTTGCAGGACGCCGGCATCCGCCTTGCCCGTTGCATCGTGCACCGGCGATCGCTCGCGTACAAAGAGTCAACATTTACTCGATGGAAATTCGCCTTGTTTACCGACAAAGTCGCGGAGCCACGGTTCCGGCTGGAGTCCTGCTGCGATCGTGTGATTTTCAAAGATCTGGCCGTTGTCGTGCAAAACAAGTGGGAGGCGCCCCTCTTAGAGTTCCGCGTTCCCCTGATCGTCTTCACCCGGGGAGCGGTCGATGAGGCGGACGTTGTGGACCTGTTCGAGAAGCATCTGCACTATGAGGGGCCGCCGGTGGATGTGCAGCAAGTAGCCCATTTCATGGGCAATCGGATCATCACTGCAGAGGGAGCGACGATCGTAAAGAAGGTACGCTACTGGTTTGTCACTGATCGGCATCTTGCTGACTTTTTTGGGTTCGTTTGGTTTTCAAGGTGGTTCCTTAGGTTAAAGAAACATCGTGTTATCAGCCATATAGTCTCTGTGACCTATTTTAAGATACAGCTTGGTAAACAAAATCATTAGCTACCAAGCGAACTGGGAGAATATCAATTAGTTCCATATTTGGACATAAGTTCATAAGATCTGAATCGACAGATTTCCCGTCTTCTTTTGCTATGTCGTTTTATTGTTCTTATTAACATTTTAGTAATCTAAGTCTTTGGAAGTTTCTAGAAGTTTCTTAATGTAGATGTTTATGCAGTTTATCCGAATGTGACTATAAAACCGCCAAGCTTGCTAATGCTAGAGGGTCCACTCTGTCTGAGTCCACTGGAAGTCATCTAGCTGTCATTTGAACTGTGTTTCGCAATTGATAAAGTCTCAGAATCCGTGTCGGGATTTCTATGTTAGGCTTAACTGCGTAAAGTGCCTTGGGCAGCACATAAAGCTAGTGGAGTCATTAGCCCGGTATAATACTAGTATATCGCGTAACGCGTAACACATGGGTTCTGATAAGTAATTTGCAGATTCTGCGGAACTACCAATCCAGCGATCCGCGTCCGTCGGCACAGTATCGGGAACACCGGTGGTGTGTGTACAATGTGGCCGGCGTGGACGTGGGCCGGCTGAATCGATTCAGTCTGTGTGTCTTATGGCGCTACACGCAGTACTGGTCCGCATACGAGAGCGCACACCCTGTGCAACTGGCACCCAGCGACCCGGAGTCCGAGTCCGATGAGTAGAAAGCGCACTTTGTTGAATTTTGCTTAGACGTTTACCGACAATGTTGATTGTTAATCATGGTAGGCAGAACGGTATCTGTATGACCTCATGTAGCTGTAGCGGTTGAGATCTTCATGGTCACGACGCCGCCTTGCTTAATAGCTATTCGTGTTTGTTTTCGCCACGCGTTTTTTCGTGTTTTCGTTCTTATTTTACATGCATTTTCATCGATCTACAACACAGCCACGTGACAACACAGTCCGCAATTTCTTTATTTTATGCATTTGGTGGCATTGGTGGTTGGTACACGACTACACGTTCTACTGTTATGGTCGTTCAAGGGGTCACCGCCCATTATGGTAAACGAATAAGCGGTGGCCATAATTCATAAAGTCCAGAGTTTTTGTAAACTCCTAATACAAAGTTCTTGTAAAGTGTACGTTCAGTTTGATCTGTAAATGGCAAAAGGGTAAATATGCTTGAGAGGGGTTTCTCCCAAACCAGTCATTGATTGATTTTTTAACTCTTCGGGACACGGTGTAGAGCTTTTGTAAAGCGTGGCAACGGTTAGAAAAATCATCGTACACTACAGATATAGATAAAACCATCAAACGGCTGAAAAATGAAGAAAACATCCGCCCGTTGCCCGCCGCCCGACGTTCTACGAAGCGTCGCACACGTTACGTAGAACGTCGAGCAGCGTGTGCGTCGGTTTCTGTACTTCGCATGGGGCCTTAAGTTTTCCCCTCGTATAGTACGGGAAATTTCGTTTTCCCCCGCACATGTGCCGCTTAGTCGCATACACGAATGCAACTTAAAGTTGGCTGCAGCTAAAAACCGGTTTCTGGCCAACTCGGTATATCCGGTTGCGCAACTGAACTAGAGACAACTCACGTGTTGCCGCAGCGCACGCGGCTTTAAGCTGCAGTCAGCTTTAAGCGTGTAAGCGACTAAGCGGCACATGTGCGGGGGAAAACAAAATTTCCCGTACTGTATGAGGGGAAAACTTAAGGCCCCATGCGAAGTATACCAGACTTTGTGGTGCAAATTCCATCCAGCTGCACTACACGTTTTTGTACCTTTGAAACTTTCAATACAACTGAAAATCCTAATAGTGCCACAAGCAATAATTATTACGAAGCAAAATCCAGTGCACACGTTCCCATTGAAGGCAGCTAAAAGCGGAGAGGACTTATCAAATTTGGAGTACTGTATTATTGCTAAGAATACTTATACGAGTGCTAAGCAGTATGTATGTTGTGCTAAGCAGTATTCCAGATCGGTAGCATTATCTGACAGAAAACCCACACTACCGTCTGTAGTATTTAAAGTCAGCGCAAAGTGTGCTGAACCGTTCAGCACACACGTTCAGCCTGAACGCGGACCTAACATAAGTAAGAGTTTGCCGGCTGACACTGACAAGGAAGTAAACTACACTGACAAGGAAGTAGTTTCCACCGTCAGACGCCGCTGAATCATGGCAAGTAGTATCCTGTCGCGGAAAGCGGCCGCTGCGTCGCATCTGCAGTCCATCGTCCGCTGACTCACCGAACGCCTAAAGGCTTGAGATACCAGTAGAGAAGCAGCAATGTGCTGCCTAGTTGCTCTTCTTTTGCTCGGATACAGTATACTGAGTGCAGTGGCACGCATTAAGGCTGCAATCTCTTATTGCAGTTACTCTGAATCTCCTCGCAATGACTCGATTACGACCGAATTATTACCTGCTTTTTCTGCCGGTGCTGTGCGTTCTCCCGCGACGCGTGGACTGTCTAGCACCCCCATGGAATTGTCCCGTCCCAGAAGAGTTCTCCCATCCGTCGCCGAATAATAAAGAACTGTTACGGCGTGCTCCTTGCGAGCGCTGGACTTTATCGGGTTGCAGTGACCAGTGCCAGCAGTGCGCTTGCGATATTCCGGCTGTCAATCTCAGCGCCATCGCCGCCAACGCCACCCCGAGATCCTACTGGGAACCATGTCGCGCAATCTGTGCCACCCAGCTGCTTACTGGATACCTTCACGCCCCTCCCACCGCGCCCTAACGTCACCGCCGTGTTCTTGACCCACATCTGGGTGGCTCCCGACGACCGGCCCTTCCCCGTCGCCGGATTCCTGGTCAATGTGCAGGCGATGCTGACTTACTTTGGACCTGACGCAGGTCTATCTGCCGAGTGCCGACGATCACCCGGGCGACGTTCGGCGGGTTTGTGCGTCTGGAGGCGCTGTACAGTAACCGCCTGTCGACCATTGAGGTCAATGCGTTTACCGCGGTGGGCGCTGCGTCGGGATCGGCGCTACCGAGTCTCGGTCGGTTCAGCATCACATTCAACAATCTAACTACCTTGGACTGGACGGTCTTCAAACCGCTAAGCAGCAGCCTCAAGGTATCGAAAGTGCAGGATATGAAATTTTCTCTTTAGTCCAACCAAATACTTACTATAGTGTGAGGAGGACTGGTAACCTACCGTTTGACGTCATCACTCTCGCATACACGGGAGGGCGGCTGCCATGGTGACAGATGCGCGTTTTTTACGGTTTTTGTCAGTTTTCTCAGCATATTTCTTTTCTCTTCTATTTCTAGCCCCTCATGTTTGGGTTTTTAAATTCAATATGATCTGTTAAAAATATCAGAAAGCTTTAGAGGAGAAAGGAACTGAGAATATCTTTAAAAAGGGACAATAAAATCTGTGGCCCTGTGGTAAGCAGTAGCACAGCAGTACATTCTGTATGCGACAGTGATGACGCAGTCGACCGTTGCAGAGTCGCTTCCCAGTCCTCTACCTGTAGTAAGTTCTTGGTCCAACATATTACTAGCGGTGGTTGTTACCATATCTCTGCATGAGCGCGAGCTCCAGTGCCACTAACAAATGGTAGTGAATTTGTGGGGAATTGGGAAGGTGTTACGTTACGCTTTACTTCGCATCAGACAGATTTTATGCTCTTGACGAAGGCTTAATAGCGGTCCGTAACAAGGCAATAGTGTCCTAAAATAAACTTGGATTTGCTGTTGCAGAACCTAGACCTTTCGAGTAATCATATCCAGCGGATTGTTCTCAGCCGCTTCTACGTCATGCACGGAGTAGCGTCGGTGCTGCTGATGTTTAATCAACTAACCAACGTCGATGACCGCTTCTTGCACAGCATGTCCGCACCTCACGATCGACCGGACCTCATGTTGTGTGATAACCCCGTCTGCTCATCCGTCATGCCGTGTCGCCGGATCAGAAAGATTTACGGCAAACTGTTTGAATGCTGCATCACAACATCCGAGCCCGAGTCAGCACCGGACAGCCATTTCGAACACTACAACGGAGGAATATTAACATAACTGTTAATAAAAATGTCTCTGAAATGTTAAAAGCAGAACAGCGTCTCGCGGGCTGTGGAAATAGCGACAATCGTAGTACGCGATTCCGTCAGGTGTCAAATAACAAATTGCAGACTATGTTATTGGTCTGTCTTGTCCTTTCCTATAATTATATAAACACGAAAATGGCAACATGGCAAAGCGCAGCTCAAGTCGATGACAGCGAACCAGAAAGTGATCCGCTCCTAATCGCCATCAAAAGTGCCGGTTCTTAGCCCCGCGGTGTGCTCGTAGCTTCAGAATTTGGATATGGACGACTTCGTACACGTTAAAGGTTTCGAGGCATTTTTTTTACTTATATCCGTAACATCCCGCCGTATCTCATGGTATCCTCTACGTATCGCCTGTTGAACGGTGATTTCCTGTTCAGTGTGACTAGGACTGAAGGCGTCCTGGTCCACCTCTTCAAGAAGAGGACAGCAGTATTGGTTGAGTTTGCAGAACAACGGACCAAGTATTCACAATTTTTTTATCAGCAGATTTGCTGGGCCAAATCGACTTTATCGAAAGTTCTGAAAAACGATGCACACGGAAACAAATACGAATGCAGTATGCAATAGCACCATCGCCGACCAATAGCACCATAGCAAATAGCAGAACACATGCACAGATGCGCCGCATCTGTGCTGTGCAAGTTTGGACTGTGGGCCAGTATTCAACAAGCGAACGAATCACGAATCCCGGTTCACAACACAAAAAGCATTGATTCCTTGCAGGCAGTATACGGCTTTAAGCCATCTGGCCTAGTTCTGGGCGCCAGGATTGGCTGCATAAAATCACCAGATATTTCTCCATTGCTATTGCTGGCATTGCTCCTTAAAGGTGTACAATAGTAAGTACTAAGTACTAAGTACTAAGTACAAATTAAAAATACTAGTACATGTGAATGAACATCGCCCGTCAAGCTGTGCTCTTCTGCTATAACTCAGGTTATCATAGCGCACGAAACTTGTTTTGGTAATTGACTAATTGCCATTATACACAGCTCATTTTCTGGTTCTCCTTTTCATCCAGAGTATTCCAGACCGTAAAAATGCATCTGTACGAAGATATGCGACGATCAGTGTACGCATGGAACGCCGTGGACGTTGAGATTAATGGCAGGCTACAGCACGGCCACGTGATCGGCCTGGACGAGAACGAAAGCACTCCGCAGCGCTTGCTGGTCGATTTCGGATGTCGATCACAGCAGGCGGTGCTGGTAGAGTACGGGAAGGTCTGGGAATGTTCCTCACGACGATTCGGTGACCCAGTCAAGGGAGCTGCAGTGGAAGTGCTACTGCGTGACGGCCCGCACTGGATATGGTACCCGGGGAAAATGCTGATGCCCCGCTTCGACCACTTCGAGGAGGCAGCGCTGGTGGAGGTCATGGTGGACGGGCAGTAGCGTCGCGAACTCCTTCCCGAGGTACAAGTTCGCGGTGCCTGTGGAAAAGCTGGGAGGCGCGGGTTTCTGGCAGCGAGTCCTTTTGTCATGCAGACGTGCAGCGTGCCCAACGACTACTGGATGTTAGGGCGACCTGCAGCGACGTGGCTGCTGCAATACGTGGAAAAACAGTGCCAGGTGCACTTCGGCCAGGTCCTCAGCCAGACGATGCACTATCTGCGCCACCGGCAGGACGTGCTGTTGCCGGATGAAGATGTGGTGGTGAGTGGTTGTACGTTGTTGCCTATCCTCTGCGTGTATAATCATTATAATGCAGCCCCTTGGGTGGCTAGACAACTGCTTCACAGGCACTTCACAGGCACTTCGCTTAACACTATCCTGCTGAGTGCTGACCGACGAACGATGACCCAACACAGTCTGAAATGACAAATCGTTGAACGGTATCCCGTTGAACGACCTTTTGTGAACACCGACAACTTGCTGACTTCAGAAACCTAAGAAAC